CCAATTCTCAAGCTCTGCAAACCTTAATCAAGCCTTAATCAAAGCACGTGTGTTTGGAATTTTGGGTGTGGCTTAACACGACAGGATCGGGCTAAGTCTTAGGCAGATTTCTGAAATATAATATATATTTCCTTCAGCGACACACCCGCTTTACCCGACCCCTGAGAGCAATCCGAACAGTACAGCGTAATAGACTCCTAAGGGCGGTCAGTAACCTTCAAATCGAAGTTGGCCAAAGAATGTATAGAGTATAGAGAAGCTGAACAAATTAGGCAAAGGAAATAAAGTCTTCCTACTCTGGGTGCCCACAAATGGATAGAAGGTAATGAAAAAACAAACGATCTAGCTAGAAAATCAGCGAACACTCTACTAACGCAGAACTCAAAACCTGTAAGAATCTGGAAGACAAAGGAATATTTCTTGATTTCATTAAGAACAATCTTCGAATTGCCACGGGGTTTTTAATAGGACACTGTCTCCTCAATGGACACCTCAGTAGATTGAAGCTAAAAAACAACGGCAAATGCAAATTCTGTACGAAAAACGGGGAAACACCAGAACATCCATCCCATCACTGAATGCGCCGAGACGACAACCATTCGTCTTGCTATAAACTTTGGTACAACTGATATCGGAGATGGAGAACTAGCCTCTGTAAAACCGTCTCAGATACTGGCTTTTGACAAAGCTCTGAGATTGTATGAGGAGTTATTTATAACTCAAGACAACGTGACACAATAGATCTATAAGGTCGCGATGATGAAATTTCCCCCCTCCCATACAATCGGCATCTATAAAACTGAATAATTTCGTGAGTTCTCGATACGGTCTTCCCTCTTAATTCAGTTCAAGTAAAACGTCCGTTTTTTTCGTCTACACACAAGGTTTCACTTGATACGTTTAGACTGAACAGGTAACACGTAAGGTAAAAGATTAGATGTAGACGGGGCTTTACTGTCTGTTCTTGTACAGGCGGAATATAGGATAGTTTTTTAGTCAATGGGATCAACGAAACGTAAATAGTTGTTTCCTTAATCGTAGTAGATTTAATGTTTAGATAAATTTTTATGGTTTGTTACGGTCGTCAAGTCGCAGTAATAAAACTAGACGAAGACATTATGTTTTTTTATGACGAGTGGTTTCAATATCCGTGTACAAAAGATAGATCAAATATTATAGATTTAATTCAGCATATCATCAGCAGTACAGTACGTCTGTCCGTTCTGTAGCTACGGGGTATCCGTGAGAGGGGAAACGATATTCTCTCGATGTTTTTCGTAAAAAAATAGACGACGCGTCCCATCAATAAAAATTCAACAAATTTGCAAGTAGCCAATAAAATGAGTGGGCGGAGCGATTTGCGGTGACGCACTCGTCAAATCGACGTATAAAATATATTACTGTTTATTTAAATGTTTTTTGTCCGCATTCCTTTCATAGACACAGATCCAGCAGATGTACTGTACCGTAAAAATATAGCTAAGAGCTAGGGTGAGCCTACATATTATTAGGGTGAGCCAAAAAAACTAACCTATGGAATTTATGGGTTAAAATAATAATAATAATAATAATAAACTGGTCTTTATTTGTAATAAAGTTGGACTTATTACATTATTGTGATTTGAGCATTATGGCGAGGTTTAGCTTAAGCTACTCTTACACCTAACCATAATACGCCACATATAAAATAGTGCAAACTACTTAATACAATAATTTAAAGAAATACAAAATAAGAAAAAAAACACACAACAAAGTAAAAATACAAAAAACAAAAAAAAAACATTCTAAATACAATATAAAAATTATAGCCTAGGTATCTAATAACATATCCTTAATCTTCTTTTTAAAGAGGTCTACCGAAAGAATTTTAAAAGCTGATGAGATATTATTATAATGCTTGATGGCATTAAAAGAAAAACTACGCCGAAATAAAGTGGTCCTGTGCTGAAATGAACCTAATAATCGAAAAAAAAATATCTCCGGAAGGCAGGATTTTTAGCTCAATATAAAAAGATGTCGGTGAACATTCAAAGTCTTCCTTTTAAATACCACGTAAAAAATCGTTTTCCATTCATAGTACCATAACTTTGAAACGGTTTACGATTTTACAGTGTTTTTTCTGTTTAAGTACAAAATACTTACTGAACATCAGTTTGGATTTCTAAGCAACAGGTCCACAAATGATGCTATGTTTTCCCTCCTTAATAAAGTTTACTCCAGCCTAAATAACCATCATTCTACAGCAACAATTTTCTAAGGCATTCGACTGTGTAAATCATAAGATCCTAATTAATAAACTGCAGCACTATGGGTTCAGGGGAACATCTCTCGAATGGTTTAAGTCGTATCTGAGCAACAGAAGTCAACTTGTGAGGGTGGATACCACGTTGTCTTCTAGCAAGCCAATAGAATGTGGAGTACCACAAGGCTCAGTGTGTGCCCCATTTTGTTTCTTCTTTTTATTAACGACATCGCTAACATAAAAATCAGTGGCGAAATATGTCTTTTTGTCGACGACACTAGCTTCACTTGGAGCAACAAGGACGTCACGGCACTTCATAGGATTACATCAAATGACTTAATCAACATTAAATCTTGGTGCGATTCGAACCTCCTGAGTCTCAACATTTCTAAAACTAAAGCTTTGTCGTATAAAAACTCGCTGCAGCCTTTTGCACTTAACAACACCACCATTGACGTAGTAAAATCTGTAAAATTCTTAGGGCTTATTGTGGACAATTCTCTGAAATGGAAGATGCATATCGAAACTTTGTCGAAAAAACTGAGCTCTGCCTGTTTTGCGTTAAGATCTGTTTCTAAGGAGCTTAACTTGTCATTGGCTAGAACTGTTTATTATGCACTTTTTGAGTCGCACTTCAGGTATGCCCTTCCATTCTGGGGTACGTGTTGTGCGACTCAATTTGACCGCATTTTCAAGCTCCAGAAGAGAGCTGTTCGATATTCACTGGGATTAAACAGCAGAACTCATTGCCAGGACTTTTTTAAAAATTAAAAATATTAACTCTTCCTTCCTTATTTATATTTGAATCCGTTTGCCTAATACGTAAGCATGCATCAGCTTCTCAAGAAAGGCCATCTCACACTTATCCACTCAGGAACGCGGAGCAAGATCTTTATCTACCTACCCCAAGCTCAGAGTTAGTTAAAAGTTCAATATTATACAACTCGAAAAAAATGCACAATCACCTGCCATTTGAAATCAAATCCATAACATAATTTTCTTCATTTCGCAAAGCATTGAACTCTTATTTACTAGACAAGGCTTTCTACGCCGTGAATGAATTATATTTTGATAATCGAATTTGATATATACAGGGTGTCTCAGATTTTAATCGGGAAAATTTAATAGACGATAGAACTTGCAAAAATAAAACAAAAAGTTCATATCAACTTGTAAGATTTAAAGCTTCCTTTTCGAGATACAGGGTGTTAAAGTTACTTAAAAAAGAAAAAAAAATTAAGATATTTGAAAAACTATTTAATTGATTTTGATATATTTCAATTTCAATTTCAAAAGTACTTTATTGTTTAAAAAATATACAAATTTTTGTTAACAAAGCATAAATATTCCTAAATCTAAACCTACAGTAAAAAAAATTGTGTAAATATAAGATAGAAATACATCCATTTAAACAAACAAACAGTATTCAGAAAAATAGGTGTAAATATAATATATAACAACATAACTTGACCCGTTTATAATACTTACTATGGGACTTAATTTGATATAATTAGATTTAAGTTTAATGGCCAGGGGCGGCGGGGGGGCATCCCTGTTAAATTATTTTAAAGGAAAAAATAGGCACGCCACTGCTTTTAAGTTTAATATTATTTTTGGATTTAGTAATTAAAAATAATATTTTTTTGTCTCCTGACTTTTTTGTCTATCTTCCTTACTTCTTGCGAAAAAAATTAAATTCTAATTGGTAATTAATATTATAATTGGTATTTTAATGGTACCCTGTATCTCGAAAAGGAAGCTTTAAATCTTGCAAGTTGATATGAACTTTTTGTTTTATTTTTGCAAGTTCTATCGTCTATTAAATTTTCCCGATTAAAATCTGAGACACCCTTTATATGGATGAGCCACTTTCGAGACGCACCCGGTATAAAAAATTATATAATAACATAATACCTCACTAATACATATTCTTGAAAAATGTGTCTAATTTTTACGAAAAATCTGGTCACTTTATAACAAGTATTATGAAGGTATTTAAGTACTATTTTAATCTATATTTACAATCTTAACAAACCTGTAAAAAATACGAATTAGATATTCATGATGTAATGAATAATAATTGCAGACATGAGTGGATAAAGGTGTCATGTCGCTTTTTTAAAGTTTCGAGTAAATCGACACATATACAAACTAAAATATATGGGAAACTGAAATTGAGATCTTTGAAAGGACTTTTTTACCGCAACCAGTTATACACAAATTTATTAGTTCTGTGACGAACCACCGGTCGCGCTTGAGGGAAAAATATTATGACTTTTAGCGTTTATCAAATTAAATCAAGTCAGTTTTAATCAAATAATATGCACCGTCAAAAATCGAAAAAAGTTTTACTGGAATTTTAGTGATTATTTAAACTTTTTATTAAAAACAATGATGGAATCAGGCCGTAAACCTTTTCATAAATATGTTGTTCCGATGCCGGCATGCATGGATTTGTTTTCCAAAAGACATACATTCTCGAAGAACGATCCTACATTATTTCAAAAGTGGTATCAAGTGCGAAACCTTAAAATGGAAAATACAACACAGCAAGATATTTGAAAGATTTATAGAGTTTGTGATTTACATTTTTGCAATCAAGATCGTACCTGGAATAAAAAGAGGTTTAGAAGTTAATTCTAAAGTTTTTATATACACCAGTTCATATGGGTAAGTATATGCATTTAGTTAAATAAAGAACGTTTTCAGATATTTTGATCTAATAAAATGGAAATATAATCTTTTAGATGATCAACCTACTGGTCATTTGGTGTCCAGTGATGTCGATCCAGGTACAAATCCTGTATTTAAAGACAAACATTTGTTGTAGAACTTGTTGGTGGACCACTCACTCGTTGGTATTAGACATGTACTGTTACCTGAGAAAAAAGCTGTAACTGAAAAGGGTTGGTACCTACACCGTGGGCCAAATTAATGTCGCAAAATATTCAGTAATGAAGATGAACATTATTTTAAAAAAAATATCATATCAACTTTATAACAAAAAATATTTTAATTGGGCTGTAAATAAACAAGTTATGGCACTGATGGCTGCTTTAATTTGGCCAGAGAGTGATTCAATTATTAGATATTCCAAAGTTTATTAAAAATATTAATATGTATTACGAATCCAAACTGAATTTGGTTCATTAAAATTATCGTTTTAGATTTTTTAAATTGTATCTATCATTTTAGAGGACGGATCAGATAACCCAAATCAGGAATCTTCCAGAGTGCAGATGATGGAGTTTTGTGAGTGAGGTATAAGATCTGTCTCCTGTAAGACCTCTTTTAAGAATTTAACCCAGGCAGTTGTTTACAACCAAGTTAGGTAAGAATTAAAAAATATAATAAGTGGAGCTGGTAGATATGAAATATGTAAATTTGCTTTATCAGCAATTGTTTTTGAATCCTGCTTATTTTTTTTTTTAAAAGGCATATAAACACCATAATTATTTCTTGTGAAAAATAATGCTTGTGTTAACTTAAAGACTAAGATAAAAAGTTCATAGCCAATTTCTGTTGAGATTTTAGAGCCCTTCAACGGCATCAACTTTTAATTTTTTCATCCTATAAACCATACTCGGGTTTTTTTGATGTGTCACATAATTATACATATTTATTTGTTTCAGATCTCAAGGATAGCAAAGGAATCGTACAACCTGTGAATTCAGTTTAATTACTGAGATCAAGGATGATGAAACATTCATTATGATTATACAGAGCTACAAAGAGTTATGTTGAGAATTCAAATTATCATAATGAATTGAGACGAGACAACACCTGGGTGGAAATTGAGGAAAAATGCAGATAAAAGGCGTTTTTATATTAACGTTATGAATCCAATGTTTTTATCAAATCCTTACATAGATAATATTTCTCTACGCATAATACTAAAATTAAAAAGGTCAGGTTAAAACAACTTTAATTATCCATCGCGTACGAAAAACAGTGCTTCGCATGGCTTCGGCTTCGGCGCGCTTCGCTCAAGTGCTCATCATGCTTTAAACTTTTGCGAAGCGCCAAAATGTCATTGGATTAATTGCATGTATTTTGATTCTTAGCGTTACTTCGCTTTAATCCGTGGGTCTGCGTTTTTATACATAGATACCATTGATCCAATTTACATTTTTTCGCCGCGCTTCGAATAAGTTCGCGACAAAACTTTGTTAGTTGTATTTTATATTATTTAATGCTATTGTATTGATTTATAATTATTATTGTATTTATATGAACAAGTTAAGTATAGCAGCACCGTGCGAGCCTTCGTCTGAAGAAGACATTTTATTTATTGTATAATTTGTATTATTTACTTTTTTTAATAAAGTTATTACTAATAATAATTATTAAACATATCCACAGTTAATTATTTTTATTTTATTAACTACAGCTGTTTTTTTCTATCTATTTCATATTTTTTGATGAGTATAAGTTAATTCTAAATGAAACGTCACCTGTTTGAGAACAATACGATATAATGAGGCGATGTCGCATTTAGAGTAACTTATTCTTATTAAAAAATAGGAAATAGAAGAAAAATAATCTATTTTCTGTACAAAAAAAATAAATTACATTCCAAAAATTGATAATAGATGGCGCTAGAGTGGACAAAACAATATAGTTACCTGTAGTTAAAATGTAAAGTTTCCTGTAAAATAAAATAAAATTGTATCATAAGTTGTGTAACGACCCGATGCATGGCGCCACTGAATTCTCCAACAGACGGTGTCATTTCAGTTTCCTATATATTTTAGTTTGTATATGAATCGACAAAACACGTCTAAAAATTATTGATCGTGTATGTAACATGACACCTTTATCACCTAGGTTATTCTTTATGATATTTATATTTGATTAGAGTCTATTGGAGGATAGATCTGTCAAAGGAATGTTGAAATGCGGAATAAAACTGATTTTTAAAAAAATGCGACATGACACCTTTATCAACTCCTGTCTTCAAAATTTAAATATACAGTCAGGTGGGGCTAGAAAGGTAAGAGAGACCATCATGGAGACCATACTAGCACGACCTTTACTTTGACATTCATGATTGCAGCTGGTAGCTGCGGTTGTCATTGTCCACCCAAAGGAAATATAAATCCAACCCAATATAAACTTGTGATAATATCTAGGCTGTAATTTGCCATAGAATGCCTAAAAATATAAAATTTGTCGAATAGTTTTACGTTACCTCCCAACCCAAAGCCCACCTATAGATAGTTGTTTTCCACATATTTAGCATACATATGGCAGTTAAATAGAATTCTTTAAATACAGATTACCTGTCAAAGCATGGAGTCAGTTAAAGTTATTTGTCTCTAGATAGATGTGGTTTTTAATTAATTTTATGACCTTGCGCGAACTAAAACGACAGGAATACTTAACAGAATGAAGTAATTTTCTTCAATGTCAAGTTTATAAATTATTAATTTGTAATAAAGGAAAACGTTGAACTAAGAAAAACAATAAGGAAATAAATACATAAAATAAAATAATGCCACGTGTCATAAATTGTTATATCTAATAATAAACAGAACTTTTGATTGTATTATTGTTTTTTGACTGTAACTAGTTGCCTCTGTTGTCAGTCACTTTTGTAGAACTATATATAAATATAATTATAATAAATAGTTAGATTGTCAAAAATTGTTTTGACAAAATACATAGATTAAAATAATTATATAAAAATCATATAAATGACATAAATTTCTATTCCATGTTATAATTAAAATACATATACAGTATGTCCCCGGATTGTCTTCGTCATTCCTATAAAAATGTTTGCTTGTTCTAAAAATGGTTAATCCCGTATATAATTTTCTAAATTTTCATACTGTTTTAGAAAAAAATTTAAAGAAGATTTTTTTAGAGAAAAACATAAAGATATGGTTGAATTTTTTGAAGATATTTGAAGTCCTAAAAATCAAAACGCGTTTCTATGGTAATGTAAATTCGTTTTCATTTTTTGATAGATTGGTATTCATACGGGGTGGCCCATCGAAAACGTTCCGCAAGACATAACGGCCAGAGTATTTTCTTTTTCAAAAAATCCAAAAACACGTCAATTTTGTTTGTGAGGGGGACAACTTTTGCCCCAAAAATGATTGCAAAATCTTCAACCCTCTGAGCGGGGCTGTCATCCCCCAATTTTTTTGAAATGGGAAGGGGGGTCAAGTGATACCGCAATGAAAAGGGCTTTCTATTATCTATACTTTCCCGCTTCGTTTTTGAAAATCGGTCGAGTCATTGAGAAAATATGAAGGATTGAAATTTGAAAAGTTTATTTAAACATTTATCAGAGTAAATGATGAGGATAAATTCCTTCGACCAATTTGCTGTTTTTTGTTATTATTTCTAGATGTTTTCGCATTTTTTCACTTGCCACAAGGTTGAACGATCAGGTGCGGTAGTTGCTAGATAGCTGTTCTGTGACTTGTGCGTTGAAGTTCTTCTCAATATCGTTAAATTTTTAACAATTATGGTGTACTCACTTGCAGAAAAAGTGGAAATAATCGAACTTTATTTTACTTTATTTTAAAACGTCTTCGTTGAGTTCTTGTACCAACTGAATTTTGTACGGGTGGAACTTTTTTTAATATCCTTTGGACGCTTGTTCGATTCACGCCGGTCTTATTGGCTAATTTTCTTGTACTCAGCGTACTTGGCAACTTGACCTAATACGAATACCTCCATAGCTTCATTTACTACAGTATTTTCCCTCTGCCTCTATTTATTCATAACGGAACCAGTTTCGCGAAATTTTGCTACTAACTCGCGAACAATTTTGCCATAAAGGTGTTTGTTAGGATGGCGTTCATTGATTATCTGCGCAACCCGATTGCCACATTCATTATTTTTAAAATAAAGTTCGATTATTTCTACTTTTTCTGCAAGTGGTTACACCATAATTGTTAAAAAGTTTAACGGTATTGAGAAGAACTTCAACGCACAAGTCACAGAACAGCTATCTAGCAACTACCGCACCTGATCGTTCAACCTTATGGCAAGTGAAAAAATGCGAAAACATCTAGAAATAATAACAAAAAACAGCAAATTGGTCGAAGGAATTTATCCTCATCATTTACTCTGATAAATGTTTAAATAAACTTTTCAAATTTCAATCCTTCATATTTTCTCAATGACTCGACCGATTTTCAAAAACGAAGCGGGAAAGTATAGATAATAGAAAGCCCTTTTCATTGCGTACCACTTGACCCCCCTTCCCATTTGAAAAAAATTGGGGGATGACACCCCCGCTCAGAGGGTTGAAGATTTTGCAATCATTTTTGGGGCAAAAGTTGTCCCCCTCACAAACAAAATTGACGTGTTTTTGAATTTTCTGAAAAAAAAATTACCCTGGCCGTTATGCCTTGCGGAACTTTTTCGATGGGCCACCCTGTATAATTTTAATTATCATAATGTTTTTTGTTGTTTAAAAACTTTAAAGAAGCAAGATGATAGTTATCGGAAAATATGATACTTTAACAACAGCATAGAATATGACGTTAATCAAAATTAATAATAATCATAACATAATCAATAATCAATACATCTATTCTCTAAAAGAATGAAATCGAATTGATATTACCATAGAAACGCCTTTTGATTTTTAAGATTGTAAGAAAATTCAGCCATATTTTCATGTTTTTCTTAATTTTCTCTAAAACGGTATGGAAATTTGGAAAAGAATAAAAAGGATTAACCATTCTAGAACAAGTGAAAATTTTTATAAAGAATGCATTTTTCTCAAAATGTCAATAATGAAAAAAATTTCCTCTTGTAAAGACGAAGACGGACTTTAGAAAATTAAAAAAACTATTTGTACACTCTCACAGACTCATAGTCACTCTATTAGGGTTATCTGATAGTATTTTTAAACTTTTAAATTAGTTGATAATTTGTGAGATACAGAGGCCAACTTAATTTTTTTAAATACGGACCTGCATTTTTTATTTTTAAGTTTTGAAAGAACTTGGTCTCCTGAGTATAATGATATGCCACACTTTATACTTTTTTTGCTTTGGTTACAACACTATTTAATTATTATTTAAAATAATTTCAAGTCCGACTCTGGTTTTTTAAAGTATTTAACCTGATTATATTAATCGTAAAAATATTAATCAGCGCTAACTATTTTAGAAAAATTGAGCCAATTGGAAGATTGAAATAAATAATATCCAAGTCAGCAATTTAAAGATATTATTTTTATTGTGAATTTGAAATCTCAGTGCACGATCCAATAATATGCATAATATTAATCGTAGTTATTATAAATAAATCAACTTCTACAATTACAAACTAGTTTCTAATGCTCTACATTTCGAAAGGGTAACCACCCTCTCTATTGCACGAATTTATTTTTCGTTCAATTTTATTTATAGCTCTTTGAACTTTCTTCTTATACTTCCGAATGCATTTTGTACTCTTTATGGTAAATGTTAAGATGTATTGATTTCACTTTTACAAATAATGTATAATAATGTACCCCGCCCCCCGATCCTTGCTGGCAGGTCCAGGAACCTCGCTGGCCATTATATTGCTCTACCATTTCCAATCCATCTTCCAGTGAAATGATTTGATTGTTTATATTATATTTATATTATCTATTTTATATTATTGTTTTATTGCATTTGATTTTCCGTATTCAATATTTTACCCCACGTCATTGTTAAGTTTGAAAGCTTATGAATATTGTAACAATGAATAGATTAAATATTTAAAAAAAAACAGAGCCGGACTGGAAATTAGTTTAAATAAATTGTGCTCAAATGTCCAAAACAAAAAAAACTGTGTGACATATCATTGTCCTCAGGAGACCGAGTTCTTTCAAAACCTGAAATAAAAAACCCACGTCAGTTTTTAAAAAAAATTAAGTTGGCCTCTGTATATCACAAATTATTAGCTAATTTGAAAATCTAAAAATACTATCAAATAGCCCTAAAAAGCGGCTATGAGAATGTGCAATTATTTTTTTGATTTTCTAAATAGTAACGACAGAAAAAAATAAAATTGATTTTCAAAAAAATCCGTTTTTTCAAAAAAACTCAGCAATCCTTGAAATTTTTAAAACTTTTTTGATGGCATCTTGGTGAACAAAGCGCAACTTTACCCTAATTTAACCATGTTCGAATCTATTACGGTTACCGAGATACCATTGCTCGCACCCCGAATTTGTAGCACCCTGTATATAAATATATTATCAATTATTTGATTGAAAAAATGATAATTTTTAAATTAAACATTTTATCTGCCATAGAACACTATATTCTCTTT